GGTCGCGTTCGCCATTGACGATGGTGATGGCACAATAAAGGGTACAATTTGATCAGTTTTAATTGTACCACCGATGGTCGCGGGTAATTTGGCCCAGTCCACCACGATATTGTTCGACTTATACAGAGGCTGCTCAGATAAATACTGAAGAGCCGCTTTAATTTTAGCGGGACAGACCGTTTCCGATATGTAGGAACCGGCCTGCCGATCTTCAAATTTATCTGAACGACCTCGGCTTCGTCGAACGTTCGCGGGAGAACCGAACACATCTTACCCACGTCGGTCGGTACATTTAAAACGTGACCCTTCAGGTATTTCGACCGATCGCACCCCAAATTCCGTATTTGCATAAACGGAATTCGGGAAGAAATTAGGCGCTCCTCCAATACGTTAAGCGTTCTGATCGCTTCGCATGGAGGATCGTCTAATTTGTAATTGTTCGATATAGAAACGACCGGCAATTTTAGGCCTAAAATTGACTTGTAGCACGTGAAACACAGCGTCGAGCTATCCGGCACCATGTGCGTACAAGTCGTCCGCGATTTCTTTTGGCTCGTTTCGTTTTGCGAAACGTTGAGCCAAAAGATGTTTTCGTAAAAATTTTGCTTGTCGCGAAAAAGACCAAAACTCCGCAACACGTGCACACCACAGTCGGTACTTCCTTAATTAGCTTAAAGTAATTAAGGATGGACTTGTCTGTGCGAGTGGCGGTCGTCTCTATGTCAAAATCCTGATGGTCGTCGTCACCATCTGTTAGCCCTTTTCTTCTCATTAACCCCTTGGTTAAAGACAGGGAGGGTTAACAGTGTAGGTTCTTTACTATTTCCTAAATTACCCGGCTAATTGATAGGTTACAATCAAATAAACAAATTCGTACTGAGAAGAGTTCTTTCAGGAATATATTTTAATTAGACAAAGTATCTGCAGTTATGTTGGACAATATCAAGATTATCAAATGGTATAAAATTCAATTAGTATTCAATCGATTACCCAAGGTTAGTACTAACTGTGGTTTACAGTAATGAATACCGCATATAAATATTACTCAAATAATAAATTATAATTTGTTTACAGTATGTTTTTACTTCTCCAGTTGATTCCTTTAATTGGTTTAATGGGTACCACCGACAGGATGCTTGAAAACTAAACTAATCTTACTTGTTATGAAGAGGAACACTTCAGGTTTTCTAGATGGTTCTAAATTGAACTGGTAAGTAACTTTACCATCTTAATCTGATAGGCACTGATTCCGTGATTTCAGGTACTTTAGCAGCCTATGGAATGCATATATGCTATATTACCGGGACCAGGAAGCGAGTAGGGGTAGCTGTATTCTAATAGCTACTCTTTAGCTATCTACTTAGCTCGAAGCAGCGGGAGATATAGGTTAGATTGCTAGGTAAACAAAAGCTGAGGGAGCAGGTATTCTAAAAAGGCCTAAAATATAATTAGGTACAGTTAGCTTGGGTAAAAAAAGGCATTTATACTATATATTAATAATGCATTTATTTTAAACATGTATTTCTGTCTATAACTTACCACTGTTGGAGTTGGGCCTCATAAGTTTATTTTAAAATTATTTAGGAAAATATAATCCACAAAAGTGTGTATATATCTTCTTAGATATATAAGTAACTAATCCTAATAATAATTTATTCTTTTCAGACTAATTAAATCCGGAAAATTCGGAGTTGCACCACGTGCACGTCTCTAGGTTAGCCAGGAAAAGAAGCGGGAACAAGAGAGAGAGAGAGAGAGAGAGAGAGAGAGAGAGAGATAAACACTCTAGAGAAATTATGGAAGAAATAAAGACCCATATCCTAGCAGTTAAGCAGCCACTTAAATGAAGGGCTTAGCAGCATTAAAGGCAGTACTGGTAAATGGTAAAAGAAGAATATTCAAGTGATCTGTGCCCTATACATTAAAGCTATTTATGTAAACATAACCATACTTAGAATGTTTTTATTATTATTAAATTACGTCTGAGGATAAAATTATTTTATTTATGTTTTAAATGAACTGCTAAGAAAATTAATTTGGATTATTCATCACATCTTGATAGTCGTAAGTACATTTGTTCTTTTAAAAATCTCGTCTTTTACTACAAATCGTTATTTTAATAAATCAAATCTTATTATGCAATAAACCCGTAACACATCTACACTGTTACTGTCATCATCATCGTTATGGGGGCGGTAGTCTTTGTCGCTATCGTCGTCGTCGTTAGAAATATACACATTATTTATATTATTATTATCATCATTATCCCTGTCATTACTACGATCGTTATTGTTAAGTGATTGCGAGTTATTTCCTTCGTAACGTGTAAGATTCTTTTCTTTCTTCTTGAGAAAATATAATCCCTACAAGTGACACCCTGAGACTCGGAAGTACTCGAGCGCGAGTTTTTTTTAATGTGGTTTGCTCCACAGTTCGGGCAGCTTCTAGTGGAGGTTGACGGAATAACTCCAGGGGTCTTGTTAATATCAGACTATCAATAAAAGAAGGTAACAATAACGGGCTTTAATCGTTATTGTTACGTAAAAGTATTCTGAAGCTGAAAAAAATGAAGGGGAAAGGTCGACACAAAATTATAAGCCAGAATTCAAAATTAACACATGTATTTCTTACGAAAGCTAATAACAATTGTCTTAAAATATGTCAAAGCCCCACCCTGAACAAAAAAAAAAAAAGAGAGAACAAATAGCGGTTGCGGAACGGTAGCTGTGACAGGACGGAGCTCAATCAGACGTTTATTAATTATTTACAGAAATATATCAAAGGAACAAATTAGGTTTACAAATTCGGCCCGTGGCTGTGTTTTATTTATTATAGTAAATTCTAAATGCAAACGGAATAATGGTTTAATGGTTTTCAAAAATTAATTAGTACCAGGTATTGGAAACGTTATTATTCCCAAACAATATGTTTGTGTTAAATTAAAAAAAAATTATGGAACTCACCCTATATTTATAAAAAAAATTAAATATTCTTGTCGGTATTATTTCTTTAGGAAAATATAAAAGAAGCAATGACAATTTCCCTTAATAATATCAAAACTTTCTTTAATAATAAAAATAAAAATATTCAGAAACTACCCCAATTACAATATCCAAACGGCTAGTCAAAAAAAAAAAAATAAAGCGAAAACTACCCCAACAAGCGGAAACTACCCCAAAGCAATATCCAAAGTGCTAGATAAGCCCTTGTGAACCACTCAACGCAGGCAGTCTCTAGATTCAGATATTATTCTAAAATTCTTTTTCTAAATAAAGCGAAAGCTACTTCAACAAGCGGAAACTACCCCAAAGCAATATCCAAAATGCTAGATAAGCCCTTGTGAACCACTCAACGCAGGCCGTCTCTAGATTCAGATATTATTCTAAAATTCTTTTTGAAAATAAAGCGAAAGCTACTTCAACAAGCGGAAACTACCCCAAAGCAATATCCAAAATGCTAGATAAGCCCTTGTGAACCACTCAACGCAGGCCGTCTCTAGATTCAGATATTATTCTAAAATTCTTTTTCTAAATAAAGCGAAAGCTACTTCAACAAGCTGAAACTACCCCAAAGCAATATCCAAAATGCTAGATAAGCCCTTGTGAACCACTCAACGCAGGCCGTCTCTAGATTCAGATATTATTCTAAAATTCTTTTTCTTAATAAAGCGAAAGCTACTTCAACAAGCGGAAACTACCCCAAAGCAATATCCAAAGTGCTAGATAAGCCCTTGTGAACCACTCAACGCAGGCCGTCTCTAGATTCAGATATTATTCTAAAATTCTTTTTGAAAAATAAAGCGAAAGCTACTTCAAATGATACTAATTATAATCGGAAATTAACCCAAATAATACTAATAATAATCGGAAACTACCCTAACACAATATCCAAAATTACTGACTCTACTTAAAAGTAATACGAAATTTTTCTTGTTCTAGCACCAATTAATTTTAAACCTGTTTTACAGGAAAAATAGGAATGCATATAACTTATATTTTAGTAATTTCAAAAATTTCGGAAAAGAAAACCCCGAAATTTTGATACAACATGAAACGGAATACTAAAAAAAATCAAAACTAGGCAAACACAATAAACACAGACGATAAAGCAAATTTCTTACCTGAGCACGGTCGGGGCAACGGGATTCGGAGAGCTTTTCTAGTTGTTTACCGGACTGACTATCGACGAGAACTGACTCCTTCTCGCTTTGCTTGCTGCTTTTATAGGTCGCAACGCGTGTAGAGGTGTTATCATAGCTACCGTGGTCGGCCGCTCACTCACAACATTTATAGTTGACTAAAGGTGTTTCCAAACACAGAATTCGCTTGAAAATCAAATTGCGACGTTCTTAATATAAGGATCCAATGGCAAGTAATTGTAATTGAAATTTAAAAACGATGTTAAGTTCGATGGATTCTATGTTTTTCAAGTAATTTGATTAAAGTAACTTCGGTATATTTAAAAAAAATGCTAAATTCGATTTTTTTTTCGACGGATTCTATGTTTTTTTTTACAAATAATTAAATAAAAGTAACTTCGTTACATCCCCCCTTTCTTCGGTAAAAAAAAATAAGAGTGAACAAAGTTTACGCTTATTTTTTCTTTCCAACCTACCTAGTATATCGTCGCCGGGCTGTGAATACCTTCAATGTGAAAAAAAGTAAATTTTACAGGAGAGCCAAAAAACATTTCTATCTCTAGATATTACAGTTATATTGTAATTTTTTCATGATTTATAATATAAAGGAATGTATTTATCAAATTGAACTCAATATCTTGTTGAATGATAATCCGATCAAAAAATATTATAAAAAGTGTTACTTCAGAGGTATTGCTTAATCCAGACTAGATGACATGGGAGATATTTCATACTACATTGCATTATTATCACTTTTTATTTTAATTTGAAGGTATATAGAAAGAACACAATTAAGAAAAATAAATTTTAATTTTTAAATATAAAATAAACGTTAACTTTTGGAACAATATTATAGTGTATCTTATTTTTTATTTTTCTTCTTCTCGTGGTCATAAAATGAGTGATGGTCGACCTCAATTACTGTCTTCATTTCTTGCAGATGTTGATACTTTTCATAAGATATTGCAGGTTGTTTCTTGAACAGGGGTGCTTTGTAAACTGACATGCCCTGACAGTCACGTTTATGTGGCAATATTTGCCACTCTTCAGAGTAGTCCAACGTAAACCACACCTCTCCACTAGGTGAATATTTTAATTGTCTTATATCAACGACCACAGGATCACCGGTTTTTGTGCCTGGTCTAATTGAACGAAAGTTACTTGCAAGTTCGCATTGTTTGAAAAACTTGTAGTCTAATGATTTAATGCAATATGGTTGTTTGTGACGAGCCATACGCATTCTCGCTATATAATCAGTAGGTGAGTTTATTGGCGGGTGAAAATAGTGTTCCAGGGTGGAGTGAACGGAATCTGCTTCCATCATTGTATGACCCTTTTCTAAGTAAAGTTGTTGAATGGTTATATCTTTCGCTTTTGCAAAATCACTCAACGCACTGGCTAAAGTTTTGTTTCTGTTTTGGTAGTTACATCCGTCTGATATCAAATTAACTGATTTGAAATTAGTTGGGATATTACTTAGATAATCTATCAAACAAGATGTAAATTCATTACACGTAACGCCACCACTAGCTTCGTGCCATACATATAAGGAGACGTTTTTGTCATTCAGTGCATATATCGTAAAATTGTGGAGTTGTAATTTCATTTTATAATAGGACTGAGATGCTAATACTTTCGGACATGTCAGGACACTCTGCAGATCCAAAGTGACAACTAACGTGTCAGGATGCTCCTTTGTCCTTTCTTTCATTTTTTGTTTTGCTACTCTACCTGCCTTTTCTTTATTTCGATGTTGGTCATATTCATTTTGAGAAACAGTTCCAACTTTAAATCCAACGCATGTGTCGCACTGATCTTTACGGGGTTTATGAACAGAAATTTTCTCTAATTTCAAAACAGATTTAAATAGTTTCAGATTATCAGGTATTTTATCTTTTTCTCTACACCATTCTTTGTAAATTTTGAACATGTTTTGCTTAGATATAAAAGCATTATCCACATACTTCATTTTTGAAGTTGCCCTGCAGTAATGAGAAGGAACTTTGGGTATTTCATCAAGCCATAGTTTCACAGAATCTTCTCTTTCTTTTTTTCTGATTTCTCTAGCCAACCGTGCTTTTTTTGTAACTGATAGGTTAGGATTTTCTTCTAGCTTTCTCTTTGGACTAACTATTATACTCTCATCTGATGCAGATGTGTTACTATGAACATCTGGCTTAGTCCAACGTTTCAACGTATCTTCCCCTAGACTGAGCGTATTTAAAAATAGTACTCTACAAACTTTTAGACGTTGTCCACTTACTGTTACTAAAAAATAATCATGACCCACACTTTTCTTTAAAACTTCCTCACCGTCCCTTTCACGAACATATTTTCGTCTACGTTTCACGTGTCTTGTTCCAACAAGACCTTTAACCTAAATTCTCTTTTCATTCCATGAAGATAATTTCCAGTAATTTTTGAATATAGTTTTTCTATCGTTTTCAGAAATGAGATGACATCTAAACGAATTTTCATGCAATTTGTCTTTCTGATTCGTATGCTTACACCTTTCTCTCATTTTTCTTCCTTCCCTCTTGCAATCGTGTGTTATAACTTTGTCCTTGTTTCTTTTATAGCCAACATACGATTTTCCATGTAATCTCCGTAATGCGGTTTCACTTCTTTTCTTTGTAACATTTTCTTTTTTCTGCAACTTTTCTATCTCTATAGCATCCAAATCTTCTTGCACTAATTCCTCATCGTTCATTTCTTCATCCATCTCATATGTTATAATTTCGTGCACTTCTTCCACATTATCATGTATGTTTCCTGATTCTATCATTTGTTCACTATCTGGCTTGTCTTCAATGTCTTGTGTAAGTACATTATTTTGATTCAAATTTAGAACATCGTTTTGGGTTATGTTTAGTTCTTGTAACGTCTTTTCACTTTCTAATTGTAGTATTGTAATAATTTCCGTTTCTGTGCCTTCAATGCAACATTCGCTTATTTCTTTTCTTGATTCTGTTTGCGATACAGAATTTTTCATATTTTCATCTTTACAATATTTTTCACTAAAAATTCGAGAAAATAAAATTGTCAAAATGAACAAAAAATACCTAGTTGAAAACGTACCTACTGACTGTATCTTCAGAGATAACAGTTTCCATAAGTAAAGTTCCATCTTCCAAAGTTCGATAATTTTCGATGATTGTGAAATCAGATTCATTCTCTTTATTTTCCTTGTTAATCTCAATTTTATTATTATTATTGATATTGCTGGCATTCAGCAAAATCTTATTAGTTCTAGCCGAAAACATTTTAGCAAAATAAACACACTTCTCGCTCAGTTTATTTGAAATGAAATGTTTAAAAGTGAGGTTAGAAATTTGACATTTTAGTTGTAAAATCTCTTAAGTGTATCAAATGTCATACAGAAATATCTCCAATGTTGTATTATAAATCTAATATAACCACATGGGAGATATTTCCAGATAAATTAAATAGCTCCTATGTGATTATTTTCACATAGGATTATTCTCCATCCTAATATCTAAATTGTGGTACATTGGAGAAATTTGTTTTGGTTTTTTTGAAAGGTTGGCGATTTAAATTCACTTCGGATGTATTACTAACTATTGAGGAATGGTCATATGATATGCAATGTGCATTTAGCACATTTCACATATTTTTGTTACATTGGAGGTATTCGCAGCCCGGCGACGATATACAAATTTAAAATAATTTTACATGTCAAAATTCTTCATTTATCTTCTGTTCTTGCTTCTTTTTCGGGCTTGCTCTCTGTTGGTCATCAGTTTTTGTTATATTGGATTCCGATGCTACGGCATCGCGGACATAGGTCAGCTTGCACTCCCACTGACCGGGAGCGTAATGTGAAGCTATGGCTTGTAGAGGATATACTTAGTGGTGTCGTAAGCTGAGAACACTTACAATTTCTGGACATAGTACCTACTAGACCACAACGTGAGCAAAATAAAAGTTTCTTTCCACTGCAGGAATTCCTACGGTGACCGGGATAACCACACTTCCAACATATCTTTTTATCCACAGGAAGATATACGGGAGTTTCGGGAAACCGTACTCTCTTGGTGGCCGGCTCTTCAGCATGTACTAATCGCATTTGTCTGGTGCGAGTCGGAAGGTGTCTTGTTTGAGAGACTTCAGAATACTGGCTCCCGACATACGGATCGTGTCGCCACTTGGCGGTATCAGACTCAACAGGAGTAAAGTCAGTTACTACGACAGGTAACGTTTCCTGTAAAGTTGGAGTTAGTGGTTCTGTTTCGTCATCGGGCAGAGCTGATCCAGCCAGGCTTAGTACTTCGAATGATGTATCGGAGTCCATGTCACTAAAAGACAATAAAAGAAAAATCTTTCGTCGAGAAAAAAAAAAAATTGAACCCTAATTATTCGGTCGGTCCTCTGATGGGTCTTGTTCGGTGCCATAAAGAAAAAAAAAACTTGCCTTCTAAGCGATCTTATAAAGAACTTAAACATGACATTCTGTTAATAAGACACAGCAATACTCCTTACCAAGAGGAGAAGAATAAACGAGAATATGAAGAGAGAAAAAAAAAAATATGTATATATTCTTAACGGAATCACTGGGGAGTGACTAGCAAGGACAATTCCTTGACATTACGCCTATTCGACCACAACGGGAGCAAAACAGGATTGGTGGCCGTGTACAAACGTTGCGGTGATGGCCGGTGCCACCACAGCGCCAACAAATATCTAGGCCAATTCTTAAAAATTGGCAGCCAGGGGAAGGGGAAAACTCCATTAGCGATGCTGAGGAGAGTGGCGGTGACGGTGCGGTGGGTGGCGGTGATGTCTGTATGGACGGCAACAATTTTTCGGTTTCCAGGCTCGGACGACGCTTGGGAAAGTAGATTACGTGGATTCGACCGGTATCCTCATCCAGATACTCGTGGAACTCGGCGAGCGTGGCGTTTGGAATGACTGCCATGGTACTGAAATATATAATTCATCAGTGGACTAGATACTGCATTCACTGGGTGTCGGTTATTCTCATACCTTACATGAATATGATGGTGAAGGAGATTCCGGGAGTACTGAATGAGAGAGAGGAAAAAAAAATGTACTTCATTCCGAAATACCCAAATTTCGGCAGCCAAAAAAAAAAACATTTTTTTTTTTATTATTTATTTAATGTCTACGAAACAAACAAAAAAAAAATAAAATTTCAATATTAATTAAAAAAACTTAACTTATGAATATTTACATGAAGAAAAAAAACGGTGGCCCCATCTCGTTATGAAGGGAGGGCCGGTAGGGTAAACCGAAACCATTGTGATTTCAGATAAAATGAAAGCCGGTACTTCTGGCGGACATCAGAATTCGGCGGTCGAAGGGCTTGCGCCCGGGCCAATTCCGGGGATATTATAAGTGGCTTGGATCTCTCGGTCACTGAAAGAAGGGCTTGGGCCAGCTCCTCTTTCAGCATCCAATTTCCGTAACTTGGGCCACGTTGCGGGGGGTTAGTAAAGAGGGAGTTAGGAGGCGGGGTCTCGTAATTTACCCACTCGGCTTCTGCGTCCCTCCACAGCAGGTCGCGTACCTCTATCGGACTTAAGGGACCTTCCCTGGGCTCATCCTGTGTTTTCCAGGTGGGTAACGATATGTCCTGCAGAATTATTATTTTTTTGGGAGGCTCGGGTGTCACCAGGTCTACAACAGTTTGGTCTAATGGCCTGGCGTTTTTTAAGCGGTAGGCGACCCGTTTGGCAGCCAGGATTCTTTGGGCCTCGGAGGTCATTTTCCGCTTCCGGTCTTCTAAGGGGATTAGTTTAGGGAGGGCGTCGGTTTTTGGTTTTCTATTCGTGGCTGCAAAAGATACAAACTATTCGTTTTCGATTGCGGGTTTTAAGTCCTTGATGTGCACCTGATTGAGTCTTTTTCCGGTGGCATCTTTTAGGTTAAAGACTACGGGGGATACGACTTTTACGACGGTATATGGTCCAGAATATTTCGGTGCCAATTTAGCGGCGACGTGATCAATGGCGGATGACAAGGTGTGTTCTTTTTTCATAACTAGGTCTCCTAGAGTACATTTCCAATCTCGACGTCGAAGGTTATAATAGTGACTCTGTGAAGTGATAGCTCGGGAAAGATTAAGACGGGCTAGGTCAAAACTTTCTAGTTTCTAAGAATTCGTCTAGTTTTTGGGACTGTTCGGGAGTTAACCTTCTCTCAGAAAGTGGTGTTATAGCCTGTAACGGACAGCCTGTAATACTAGTTTCCTCCTCATTATCTTCAGCACAGCTTTCACTGACAACCTCCCAGGGTTGCCGATTCGGTGAGGGTTGCATTTTCCCTGGTATCTGTTGTTGAGAAGGTTTATATCGTTGACAGGTCAGGCAACTGCGCACGTATTTAGTAATATCTCGAAACATTCCTGGCCAATAATATTGTCGTGCTATACGAGTTTTCGCCACCCCAGTGTGACCTGCATTCGGTGCGTCATGGTTTTCTTTTAATACTCGGTCTCTCTGTGGTTTAGGAACGCACAACTTCCAAGGATCGGACAATTCCGGTTCTTTATAGTCATTTATGTCCCCAAAAATGTCGGTACAGATGATTTTCCTTAATGCAATAGTCTGGATATTCGAGTGGGTTTCTTTCAACTTCGGCTTTCTTGGTCGAATACCATTTACAGTTCGTATCTTCCTCTAAGGTGCACATGTCGGGTGTGCTTGATGGGCTTTCGGTCGTGGGTAAGGGATTTCTGGACAAGGCATTGGTGATACGGTTTAAAGCTCCTCTGCGGTATTTAATATCAAAATCATATTGTTGCAAGAATATACTCCATCTTGCTAGTCGGCCGGATGGACTCACGATGGAATGTAACCATCTAAGAGATTGATGATCGGTGAGGACGGTAAAGTGGTACCCTTCTAGGTAGGCTCTCATCTTTTCAATTCCCCAGACTATGGCGAGGCACTCTTTTTCGGTAACAGAGTAATTCCTCTCGGCCGGACTTAGAGTTCTGCTGGCATATGCGATGGCAAAATCAATGCCATCTTTATTCTGTGTCAGCGCCACTCCTAGGCCATGATCGGAAGCGTCGGTTTGTAACGTAAACGGGAGATTAAAATCGGGACAACTGAGTATCGGAGCTTCCGTTAAAATTGTTTTCAAATTACGAAAAGCAGTCTCTTGCTCTTCTAGCCATCGCCAACGATAGGATTTCCTCAGTAATTTTGTAAGTGGAGATACTACTTGGGAGAAGGACGGTACAAACCTGCGGTACCAGGATGCTATTCCCAGAAATCTCCTGAGTTCTCGGATATTTTTCGGTGCTTCAAATTTCACAATTGATTCAATCTTCTCGGGGTCTGTGCTAATCCCATCCCCAGTTACTATGTGCCCTAGGTATTTCATACTGGGTAAACAGAAATGGCATTTCTCAAAATTTATTTTTAGTTTAGCTTCTCTTAGACGTCGAAAAACTTCTTTCAAATTTTCCAGATGAGCTTCGAAGGTTTCTCCCAAGATAATTATGTCATCTAAGTATGCGAAAGCATGCGGATCCATATTGGGGCCAATAATTTGATCTATCAGTCTTTGAAAAGTCGCGGGAGCGGAGTGCAAGCCAAATGGCATAACTCGAAACTGGAAAAGTCCTCGGCCTGGTACGGTAAAGGCAGTTATCGGTTTGCTGTGGGCCGAAAGTGGGACTTGCCAATATCCACTTTTTAAGTCTAAGCTTGTAATAAACCTAGCGAATCTCAGTTTATCCAAAATGGCATTCATGTATGGTAAGGGGTATGCATCCTTCATGGTAACTTCATTTACCTTTCGGAAGTCGATGCAAAATCGGTATTTCCCATCTTTCTTTTTTACAATTACCACAGGTGAACTCCACGGACTTTTTGAAGGCTCTATTACCCCTTCGTCCAACATTTTGTCCACCTCTTTATTTATAACTTCTTGCATTCTGGGATTCTAGGGTCGGTATCTTTGTTTAATCGGTTCAGATTTTGTTAGTCGGATTTCATGTTGAACTAAGTCAGTAGGTCCTTGAATAGTATGAAAAGCGGGCAATTCGGTTTCTAAGAATTCGTCTAGTTTTTGGGACTGTTCGGGAGTTAACCTTCTCTCAGAAAGTGGTGTTATAGCCTGTAACGGACAGCCTGTAATACTAGTTTCCTCCTCATTATCTTCAGCACAGCTTTCACTGAGTTTAGAGTATCTGCTTTTGTTCTTTGATGTCTTCGGCAACCCTGACTTGA